GAGAATATAGAAGCGATTTATCTACTAAGGAAGTTAACGGAAAAGTATCAATGCAAAGGTAAAGATCTTCATATTATTTTCATTGATTTGAAAAAAGCTTATAACTGTATATCAAGAGAAATATTTGAAAAGCCTTGGAAAGGAAGGGTGGCCGAATTGCCTATATTAGAGCTAGACAAGATATGTATGAGGGGAAAATAACTAGTATAAGAACATCTGGCGGTGAAACAAAGGACTTTCGTATAAGGATTAAACTATCAGGGATGATCTTTGAGCCTTTATTTGTTTGGCTTGGTTTTAGAAGTTTTGACTGAGCATATTCAAGAGAAAATCCCTAAATGCAAGCAATTTGCGAATGATATAATTTCTATTGTGGAGATAAGAGAAGAGATTAACTATAAACTTTAGTTATAGAGGAAGACATTGGAGTTAAAAGGTTTTCGCCTGAGTAAATAAGACGAAATATTTGTATCGTAATTTTTATAAGAGGTTAGTTAGTAGTAATTTGGAAGTGAAACTAGGGGATCAAATTATATCTTAAGTGAAAAAGTTTAGATATCTAGGAGCTATTATTCAGCATGATGGGAAAATTGATGAGGATATTGCACATAAGATACAAATTAAGTGATTTAATTGGAAAAAAGCTAAAAGAATATTTGCAATTGTGAGGTACCAAATAAATTTAAAAGAGTTTTATCGAACTGATATAAAACCAGCAATGTTATATGATAGCAAATGTTGGGTTTTAACGAGACAGCAAGAACATAAAGTTGGAATAGCAAAAATGAAAATGTTGAGATAGATGGACGAATATACACATAAAGATAAAATTTGAAATGAGCACGTACGAAAAAAAGTGGGTGTAGCACCTATTGAGAGAAAAATGGTAGAAAATTGTTTGATATAATTTGGACATGTACAAAGAAGGCCGTAGAAACCAGAGGCACCCATGCGAAAAGTAGAATAGAAAAATTGAGCCCTATTAGAAGGGTAGAGAATGGCAAAAGAAAACATTTTTGTAAGTTGTTGACCGAGACCTCTTAGTTAACAACATTTCTAAATACTTGGTAAATAATAGAGCACAATGGAGTCATGTTATCTATATAGCCAATCCTACCTAGTGGAATAAAGATGGTTGTTGTTGTTGTTAATGATGATGACAATGACAACCAATTATTCTAGAAACTGAACTAAAGGTCAAAGGTTGCCGTTTCAATAAGATTAAGTAGGTGCCAAGTGATGAACATGAAGCATACATTGATCATATTTCACAATCTAAAGAGGTAAACTAGTAATCCTTGTAAAATTTTAAAAACAGTTCCCAGAATCTCAATGTCTTGTCATTCTTATCATAATAAAGTTCTCTCGTTTACGCAGCACATAATGGATTAGCAACAACGATTACCTCAAACATTTTATGATCCATTTTTTAATAGCCATGCACCATTAGACCTATGACAGAAACTTATACTATATCCTCATGCCAAAAATATTTTTAATACCATATCCAAATATTCTGCTTCTCATGCCAAATATACAGGACATTTAATACTATATCCAAGACAAATCTTATTCATTGAAAAAACAATGCAGATCAGGATCAGAAGCAATCCACAAAAAATAAAGTTATACAAATTAATACTTGGATCAAAGAAAAGCATATGCTATCCAAGTTTTCAATAGATTCACGCATCTCAGCAACCTTGGTCCAATAAGTGTTTTTAAATGCTCTTTTGCTCAAAAAAAAAAGGTGTTTTCAAATGCTCTGGAAAATAGAAACTTATCTAGAGTAAGGCAATCTGAACATATCCTAATTGAAGAAATTAATCTTTGATTCAGTAGATTATATTCTCATTTCGCACCATCGTTTCCTATGCATGAACTAAAACAACTTCAACTCTAGAAAGCAAGGGAAAAAAAATCATAATAAGGCGAATAAGATACAAGAAGACGCGTTTTTGCCAGTAACTCAAATCATGCCTTCACCTTCCTAGACAGGTACCAATAATTTGTTTTTCCACAGGGCCAGCAAGCTTAATCTAGCGTAGATCAATCAGTCACAAATTTAATGCAACTCAGCTGAGCTAAAAGGACATAATTTTGCGAACCAGAGTCAAGATATCTAGAAATTTTCCGCATTAATACATTAAGTCTCTAACCCAGCTTTGTTGTAAATCCTTAAAAACTTTTTTCCACTCATTCAGGTTGACATCAATCGAAATTCTGTCGCCGCAGATTATACAAGTACCACCAATACAGAATCCAACCACAATATAACAAACACTAATCAAATTCTGGGTCTCTGTCAATAACATAGCTAACTTTCCAGATGATTTCACAGCTAAGATCTAATGTCCGGGAGGTACCTTAATGAATGAGCGTTGGCGAAACTTGGCGTTGTCATACTCGACATCTTTATTCGTGTAGGGCAGTCTCTTCGACATGCTCGATCCGATCACTGAGCTGGGCTCGGCTTCAGTGATTCAACGAATCAAACCTGAAGCTTTCGGAATTGGATCGAAACCTGAAGGGGAGTTGGAGGGTGAATCCAACGGGAAAGTGAAAAGAATTGTGGGCGGTGAATTCGATCGTGCAGAATGCTACAGAGCATTGACAGGCCGCGAAGAATATGTGTGTAAGAGAAAATTTTGTCCTCTGGGTTCGTTGCCGCGAAGAAATGCAAGGGACGACTTTCAAGACTAAACGCGTCTTATGATTCTCTCTTGAAATTATTGATTAGATCGACACTCCATAGATTCGACTCCATTACCATTATTCCATTACAACGGTGATTAACATTAACTTAACTAATTAACCATATTTTTCTACTTATTAAATGTTTATTAATTATTAGTACTATTTTTTGCCCCTGCTAATAAATAGCTTGAATTTCTAGCTGTTAATTTTTAATGGAATACCTTTTCAATATTAATACCAAAAACAGCTTTAATTGAAATATTCATCCATAAAAACCTTTACAAAATTAATAAGTTATAAACATTGCTATTTATTTCAAATTTCATGAGAACCTGGATGCATCCCTTTCATTAACATTATGAATTGTCAAAAAAAAAAAAAATTTGGAATAACTTCTGTGCGATCCAAAATAATTGTGAGCTAGCTTCAACCATAGTTTGAAGATTTGTTGGTATTTGGGGCAACACACTTCTAGACTTTATCCCTCCTTTGCTAAATTTAGTTTTCAATTCAGATTTTTGCTAGACTCTATTTCTTATGTAGCTATATCTTGCATAGGTATGTCTAGTCTAGCATAAATTACGAAAAAAATGTCTTCCAGCAATTGATTGATAACAAACCAAAAATCATAAAATAAATAAATAAAACACATTGAACCATGAGCAACATGCTAATCATTGTCACCCTAAGTTAAAGTAACACATTGGTCGACCCAAAAAAAAAAAACAAACGGGCCAAGTGAGCTTTTCAATTTGGGGCCGGAATCGAATTTAAAGTTTTTAGGCCTTTTCATAACTTCAAGAAAGGCCCAAAGGCTTAAATTTAGCTCATCACAAATATTTTTCTTCTCTCGGTTTGCGTTCGGCTTATTGGTTCTGAACATTTGTTTTGGTGTTTTGAAGTGTGCAGCATTGGACAAGCTAAACGCTTGATATATCAGGCATATATATGGCCAAGCTTGTAACCCATGTCTTCTTTTTATCTCTCTATAGACATTTGATACAAATTAATCGTATTTATAAAGGTATTGAAACCTGAACTCATCACTCAATTGATTGAAATAGTAGTTTAAAGGTAAGTAGTGGTTGAAATTGGGGTTAAATCAAGGTCAATCTGATTATATATTTTTTTATTAAAATCTAATTGTATTTTTTTAATTCAAAAAAAATGTCATTTTAAGTTTAGTAAAATGAGGGGGGGAAAACATAAAATCTAACCCTTTATTTGTTCAAAATTCTTGATCAGACTAGCCATGAGGTCAGCTCATCAATTTATTGACCCAACCAACCAAGCCAATTGAGTTTTAATACCATTTATATTATTAAGTGTCTTTGAATTAAATGTTTACTCTTGTATAAAAGGAATTTTAAGAATATTTTTATCTGCTTTTAGAAATTTAATATACAACACTATTTAGTTTTCATTAGGTTTCTTTTGCACTTCAATCTGAGCTTTTGCATCTCGAGGATCAAGTCCAAAATACCTGTACTTTTTGATGATACGTTTTTGCTACTTGCAAAGAAGTAGGTAAAGCAACACAATAAATAAAATTAATGCAATAAACAATTAACGCAAGGAGAGACTACATATATACCTATACGTATATATGTACAATTACAACTAGTAAATCACACAGAAATATAAAACTACGTCTTTGGAATGCTAAGCGGAAGAGAAGAACGCTCGGAGTTCACAACAAGAACTTTGGATCTGCATCCCTGAAGATGAACTCTTCATGGCAGGTGGCGGATATTAGCTTGAATTTAGCAGCCAGATTTATATATTATGACCATTACGTTAATTTACATGCATGGATATATACAAAGCTTCCCTAGCTAGCTAATTTTTTTTTTTAATTTCCCATGTTCAAAATAAGCAATATTCATCAAGATTTTTGTTTAAAGTAGGAATTTCGACCTTTTCAAAGGAAACTAACGATGGTGGTTATATTTCATTACTCAACAGTCAACACACAAGCTTCACATTAGTACATCTGCAAAGTCTAAACAATCGTTTGCCTACAACTAATATGTTTGCGTGCTAATTTTTGTCCTGTAAGCTAAAAACTGTTTGGATGTGTGTTGAAAAAGTAATTAATTTTATTACTTTTGAGGCAAAACTATTTTGACATGCTTGAAACCAACTGAGGCACTGAATGCATTCATATGGTCTAATTTAGACATTTTATATAATAAAATTACCGTGTAATCTTCAAATAATTTACCCAATTTGTGAAGGTTTTTTATAATCAATTTAAGAGTTTTCTTTTCAAATTTTAAAATATTTAAATCATATAGTCGGATTTACAAGCAAAAAATATACCTCAGATACCTCAAATCCATTTCAACTTTTTCTCTTTCAATTTTTCATTAACTCCTAATTTACTCATTAGTTACGTTTTCATTTTTCTTAATAAGCATTTGTATCCTTTGACTACCTCTTAAGCTAGCATGGAGCACCGTCCTATTTCTTTCCTTCCCTCTCGTCCGCCTCGCCGTCGAAAGCTGAAACAGAAAACGTCTTTGATAAGCCAGAGGGATTGGCGAACGTGATCTTACCGGCATCGTCATTGTCGACGGAGATGTCGGCGATCGTGATCCAGATGAACAGCTCCTTCGTCTTCACTCCGGTCACCCGCCGCATTCGGTGCTCCTCCGCGAACGCCGTCACCTCCGGTTCGTAGGAAACGACACGTCCGATGCGTTGGAACCGATGCTCCTTCTTTCGCTTCTGCTTCAGCCACACGAACCCCGTGATGCGGTTGTGCCCCACCTCTACGATGTCGTCCAAGGGAAGCAAGCCTGACGGGAGGCAGAATTCCCCGAGCAGTTCGCTCGCTTTCTTCTTGCAGATGGCTTCGCCATGGTAAACCTCAGCTTCGTTTCTGTGACGTGCTATGTATATGCTCGTCATTTTGAATAATTTTGATGCTGCAAATGCGATTTGAATTTGTGATTTGAGGGTGGAAGTGAATGGGAGAGGGGAAAGGGAAATGTTGGTTGCGGAATTTCACCGAATTAGCGTTCGGGAATTTGGGAGGGAAATTTGCGAGGAGAAAGGCATAAGGAAGAAGAGAAAATTTGGAGGGAGAACGTAAGTGTTTGGAAGGAGAAAAGCCAAGAATAGTGAATAGCGAAGCGAAGATTGCGAATTGGATAATATCTAACTCTGAAGTGATGACGCGAATACCGTGTGACTATTTTTGGAAAGTTAGTGATTATTATAGTAAAATCAAATTTGCAAATGTTGCGAGATATGGCATGTTGATTTGCAAGTTATGTACAAGATGTTGAATCCAGGGAACTGGAGGGGTCAAGAAGAAAATCAAAGGTCGTGCAAATCATCAAGAGTACGTTGTGGTGGAAAATTTGGGAAATAAATGCTCCTTATACTTCCCAGATTTTCCCGTGGAGACTCACGAAGAATTCAATTCCTTTGAAACAGAGTTTGACCATCACTTGCAGGTAAACTTGGAAAGCTCACTTACTTCAATCGAAGAATTATCTTTTTGGGAATGTACCTTTGCAAGCGCTTTACGACGGTTTGACTGGTTATCTAAATTAACAGAGGAAGCCAGCTGCTCAGATGGGACTGGACAAAGGGCTAGGAGAGATTTTAGATTGCATGATCATTGGGATTAGTATAACTCTACATTCCACATGTGATGAGGTATGCTTCAGGAATCATAGAATTTTCAGAAATGGTTTTTGTAGTACTATATAGTGAAATGAGTGCACTATACTTGATCAGGAGATTGTGTGCTCAAGGCGATCGAAGAGATAAGATTGAGCAAGTCTGGGGACAGGAAAGTAAACGAAAGAGAACCAGTAAGATCATGACACAATCAAGAAACTTCCCCCAACAAGTGGATATAGCACATATGGGTCAAGATGAAAGTGTGATGAGGAAGTAGTTTTAGTAGGAGTCATGTAAAATTCAAGATAAAATCTGGCCTTTTGAAATGGTGATGATTATGAAATTGGGGGATGGGGGTGCGTGTTTGTTTTGGTGTTTGCATGCATTTCAATGCGTGCTAATGGTAGAAGCTATTGTTAAATTCTTGCTGAGAAAGATGTGTTGGTGGATTGAAGTCTAAATGCAGACCAATAATGATGATCAGACAAGCAATCAACTTTCATCGAAAAGCAGCAGATAATACTGAATCCTTTTCAGCACCCATTGACAGTGGATCCCTTGAAAGTTACCATTCTAATCTTATTTATAAGATAGAGAGAGGATATTTATTTTAGTCCTATTTATAGGGCATTTCAATGATTGTTATGTTTATCTTTACTTTTTTGCCTCTATTCAATGTTAAAAAGGTCATTAAATGTTAAAGTATTTTATTTTTAGAGTAGGTATTTAATAGGGATAAAGTTAAAAACTTATTAAATTTTAAGATAAGTTAATCAGATTTAAAATTCTCCTTAGTTCCAGTGAAAATGTATGAAGTAACTTATAAATAAAATTAAAGGAAGTATTCATGCAGGGCATGCTTCAATATTTTGATCTGTGCTTGGTAACATCACTTAGCCAATAATTTAATATAATATTTTTGTAGTTGGTAAGTAATGGTTGAATGTAATTTTTTTTTAATAGATTGCTTGTTATGCTTGATGATTGTAACTTATTAAGGAAAACGACATGAAGTGATCAGACAATATTATTGTTATTAAAAATTCAAGACGATTGTTAGAGAAAAATACAATAGAACCAAACCACTAATATATATTATAGAGAAATTAAAAAAACATTAAGGAGGCCATTTTGGGAGCGATTGGTTGATATTGATACTTGATTGGTCCAGACAAAATCAAGGAGGAAAAGTAATGTAACAAAAAATAATAGAAAATTATTATGAGAAACAAATCATTTTCATATTTTCAATTAATAATAGAATATATTTTTTGGTAGATTTCCCAAAAGACCTTTTTGGATGTTTCTATATTTTCCAGACTTCGATAATAAAATAAAAATCACCAGACATTTAAATTAATTGGTTAAGAGGTTAATTTAACTTAATTAAAAGTATCAAGTTTGAGCTCCAAGGATACTGGAGCAAAAATTTTAAAAAAAATTATATAATTTATTATTATTTATTTAAAGGGAGATATGCAAAACTTTGTTTTCTTTATTGTTTTTAGATTGTGTTTCACTTGGAGGCTTTTGTAGATATAGTCCATGTTATATGATCAAATCAACTAAATAACTTAACATTTAACATATTTTGTATTATAGTTGATTATTATATATGTCAATGATATATAATTATAAATCAATGATAAATCCCTTATAAGCTTTCAAATTTTTAATAATAAATTATTTATATATTAATAATAAATTTTTTATATATTAATATAAATAGGTCATATTTTTAAATCTTCAAAAATTTGTTACATATTTTTTGGATATAAAATTTTTTTTGGACCAATGGCTAATTTATCCGTTTAATTTATTTCTCTTGGGCCTTTGAGCCCATATTTGTACCAAAAATAGAGAGAGAAACAAAAGACATGTATAATTTCAAAGTTTTAGTAAAATTTCAAGTGATATATTGCTTTAAACTTTTTAAATCATCGTTGTAGTTTTGCATATTACTCTTTTTTTGAATTTATCCAAAGGTGAAGTTAATAAAAAAATGAAAAACCAATAGTAGTTGAATTAAGTAAAAAGAGAATATCTTGAAAATTTTAACTTTATAAATAAAAAAGAGTTAAGTATACTTTTAATTCTCTATTTTTATCTAAAATTTTAATTTGATCCTTTAATTTTATAAAGTATTTTTTTAATTCTTTAAATTAACATTATTAGTTTTAAATGATTATTTTTTGTGTCTATCATTGTTATTTTTAAAAAATTAAACTTAATATGTTAATATTTAAAAATTTAATATAAAAATTTGTTTAAATAAAATCAACAGTGTTATGGTTAAAGAACTAAATATAAAGTTAATGAATTAAAATAAAATATTGTGTAAAGTTAAATGACTCAATATATATTTTAGCCATAAAAAAATCATTTTAGGAGAGGTTTTTGTACCATCATATTAACCACTTTTTTAAACTTATAAATTTAAGAACAAAAGAAGAAAAATGAACTAGAACTTAAGGGCACTTGGTGTTCTAAATTTTTTTTTTTGAAATAATTTTATCCTGAAATTTTCTAAAAAAAAAAAAGAACTTTAACCCCACCATTAAGCTGACTAATCGTTGGCCCTTAAATCTTGCATTTGACAAACAACTTTATACATGTTGCCTTCTCCTTCCTCTTGTTTCCTCCTCTCCCTCCTCATCTTGTTCAAAGTAATTGTTAGTCAATGGCAAGGTTTAACGATCAATACCGATCAATGGGTAGTGTAAGTTAATGGTATAAGAAAATGTTTCATTTTTTAAAAGTTTTAGAATAAAATTGCTTCAACAAAAAATTTAAAATATCAGGCATTTCTGTAAAAAAAAAAATTAGGCCATTTTTATTCTTTTATCCTAAATTTAATAAAACAAAGTGTATTGTTTTAAAATAGATCAATTTGATAAATCCATGAATAATCTTCCCTCCCTTTATAGTAAAACCATCAAATAAAAAATGAATTGATATATATATATATATATATTTTAAAAAAGGCAACGCCGAACTTTCATGCCAATCTCTAAAGCAATCCCCATAACTACGGTCCAAGAAAAAAAAATGCTGTTTATTTATATTTAATTAATAAATAAATGTATTACAGCCATGAACCATGGATCAACCAATTCTACCTTGCTTTACAACAAAACCATTAAATATTGAAAAAAGGGATCCAGCAAAGATAATCTAGAAAAGAGCGGTGAACACAAAAGTGCAAAAGACCAGAAAGTTCCTGCCAACCTGTCCCACGTTGTCAGCTTTAACAATATGCTGAAATGAAAGAGTGATTCTTTCCCTCTTTCCCTTCCTTTCTTTCCCAAAACGTTAGTCTCCTTCGAATGAACTGTATAATTTAACGCTTTGCCAAAAGACAAAACCATAAGCGAGTCTTTCCAGAGAAATTGGCTACTTGTTTTTAATTTTACTTTTTGAGAGACTAATGAAGTGTGAATTTGTTAGCGATTTAATCTCATGCTTTAGTTTACTCGTTCTGGGCTTTTGATCATCCCCACCTTACTGTAGTAAGGTAGTGAATGATGAAATCGTAACTAGAATTACTTGAGGTGTTTTTCTTCGTTTTCAGGTGTGGTTTCTGTATGATTGTAACTCTTCTTATTAATATATTATATCCATGTTTATTTAAAAAAAAAGAAAGAAGAAGAAGAAGACAGGACCAATAATTAGGCTCTTTTGTTTGTTATTTCTTTCTCACCCTTTGCTTTTCTCTGTAGAAACAAATAACAATAATAACATAGCTATCCTGTAATTAACTTTTGGGTATCAATCGTGGGGATTCACCCCACATTGTGATTAGATAATTGTGGCACCCGCTGCCAGAGCTTCCATTAACAAACAACAAATCTGACACTGCTCTGTTGGTTTTCAGAGCGCTGGACATTTTGGTGGCAGTGTTGGCCGCTTCAATGTGCTTCAGGTGGTGTCTGAATTCTATTGCCACCTGTTCAAAAACTTCAACCTCAAACATGTTCAACTTCATCTTGGGTTTCATGTTGTCTCTTACAAAAGCAAAGGCCAATTGGTCTCTTGGGTTAAATGCCTCAAGTTCGTTGAACATGAGGCAAGAGAATAGGTCACTGCTCAACCCATGCTTCCTCAGGATCAGAGCACTGTCTGGAACATCTGCCACAGGAGCAACAAGAGGAAATGTTTTTTCAACTTTGTTACAGTACAGATATGAGACATGCTATGACATAATGTGATGCAGTCATTTTTTTTTCTCTAATCACTCAGGTTCAATTATTTTCAAAAATAATTTGGGATATGAAACTTTAAATGTGCCCGCAAACAGGAAAGAACATGGTGTGTGTTTTGAAGATGTGAAATGAGAAGCAATTAAAATTAAGCGTGATTTGGGGTTGTATTCTTAAGATTGCTTGAAAAAAGAGAGTAAAAAAAATTAAGGATATTCTAATTATGATAGCAAAAAATACGTAGTATTTTGAGGTGATCATGGCAAATGCAAGCATCAACATGACTCTGTTTTTGTTCCAACTTCATAAAAAATTATTCCAAAGAAATATTTTGAGTCAAGATTTATGTTTCCTCTCTCAGCTATGATCATGTGAAAATTTGTTTAGTATTTATAAGGAAATTAAAGTATTATGTCATATTTGATAGGAAGGTCAAATATGCAATGGTCTTACTACTGTGTCAATGAAATATCGTAGCATGGTACAATTTTTATACGAAGAAGACACAATTAGTTTCGGTGTCATATTTACTTTCCCTTTATTTGATAGAGACATGAGAAACCCTTGTGTGGGTGTCACGATTAAAAATAGGTGCACATGCAGAGGCAAATGGAACCAAACAAATGCAACTCTGGAAAAGGGGGGGTGGGGAAGGAACGTTGGCACCCCTAACGTGTTAAAAACTGTGCTACCGTGACTTGAATGTCAATACATATCCAAGGCCTTTTGGTTTAGGACCACACACTTCAGAGGTAGTGGCACAACTACTCTGGGACCATGAAATATGAACTATGCATTTATTGTGAGATTATCATTGAAATTTGATGCAATCCTTATTCCTACTTCAATTATAAATCTTCTTTTGATTCTCCCAAGCTCTTACAATGAAAAAAAAGAAACCCCATGTATCACAGTTAGGAGTATGGCTCAATTCATATAGCCTTCATTGGCAAGCATTTTGAATAAGAGCAAGCCTATAGTGATGAACTTACCCCTATGAATTAGACTTTACTTAGA